AACAATACATTTACAGTGCTGCTAAGCACTGCAGCCCATTCATCTGCTCACACTGCATTTTTAATGGGAGGAAACTTCCTGTGGGAATTCAAACAACTCTCAGCAATTTGCAAAGTAAAATTTTAAACAACAGCACAACTGGAGAGCCTTAAGTTATTTAGCGTATCTGATGGAAAGCAGTGCACGGTGTATTTATTTGTGCTGAAGAAAAGTTTTTTGATGACTTTGCTTGAATCTTTTTCTTCATGGGACAGGGGGTCTAACCAGGGAGGCTGCAGTTATACAAGACGGACCATGGACCACCAAGATGCCTTCAGAGAAGCAGACTGAACCAGCTATTTCATGCTGAAGTTCTAAAAAGAAACTGCTTATGTGATCTATTTTCTAGTCTCTGCCCATTAGAGGGGAACTTGTAAAAGTGGGTCTGCCTCAAGGGCCATCTCCCGCCTCACGCTTCAACAGGAGTAGCTGGCTTTCACATGTGTCAAAACCAAAGCTCAGCTTCCTTTGAATTCATTAGTCAACAGGCATTAGCCTTGCTGGGGAATAAGCAAAGGGATAGCAGGAGCTGCCGTATTAGTCTGAAAAACAGGAACAATTTAAAGACCATTTACACTAGTCGGTGTGACACCCCATTCAGACCACTGATGACAAGGGGAATGCCTGGAGTCCATCTCCCCCAGAAAGGACCCGTTTAAATGCTGGAGAAAAACTAAATATGTCATCCCACAGCTGGCTCTTCTGGCTTTAACAAAGCGCATGTACTGGCACTGGACAGGAACCTCTTTATCATTCATAAAAATCAGGCCACTCCAAAAGTGTCCTGCTCTCTCTCTGAAAGTTGTTGTTTTGAGTCTATTCTCAATGAGCTGTGCCAGAAAAACTTTGATCTAGAGAACAAAATAAAGCTGTTATTACTGTAGCTTTTTGCTTGGCTAACATTCCAGAGATTTAGATTCACAACAGTCCGATGCATGATCCGATAACCCTGCACCACTTCAGCTCGTGGGCCTGACAGATGAGCAGGTCATTCCAGAGCTGAGCCCCAGACACCTCACGGCACTAACACGCTCACATATCATCAGCCTGCCTTTGTGGATGGAATTGACTGGTGATACTATAAATACAGAGGTGCTAAGGACGGTTTTGTCAAAGAGAACCCGGTTCAGTACATCATAAAGAAACAGCAATCATTATGCTCCTCCACCTCATCTATCCATCGGCAGTCCATCCATTTTTCTCTGGCCTGCTTCCCTGTTGCGGCCCACTTCTAATCCCCTCATCTATCTGCTTCCCTCGCTCTTCATTTATCTCAAAGGTAGAGCCTGCCTAACGGATGAGGAGGAACAGAATCAACATGGGATCACTCTGATCTGCCTGAGTCAATAAACATTACACATTCATGCACACTTAACACTTTAACACAGGTGAGCTGACCTCACTTCACTGTCCAGGTACACAGCTGAAAGCGTGCAAACACAGACTTTAGTGAAAATAGGAACATGTGCAAAAAAGTTTCAGTTTCTTCCACAGGGCTGCAGCACAACTTAAAGGCATCAGGCTGCGTCATGCTGCCGAATCAAGTCCTCGAAGCAAAAGCAGAAAATGATGAGTCCTGAGTTAACAAAGTCTCCTCTAATGAAAAGTACACGCCACCCCATCTGTGGTACCAATGCAACTTTAAGTGGACATTCAGAGGTAATGTTATTTGAAAAAGTGTCATTTAAGGCCTTGAAAAACTCCAACAACCATCATGGTGTTGGAGTTTTAGCACAGGCACAGAGACACATTAAGGCATCTAATTAAGGCCTCATCAAAATCACAGACAGACGGCACTCTTTCATAAAAATCATAAATTGCGTTATCAATTATTCAGGGCAATGCCATGACTTCATTTTCATCCCTTTTGCATTTTAATTAGCACCATCCACAGTTTTTGGTATCGACATTAATTTGATGGCAATTTATTGATATTTCAGCATAAACTATTTAACTGAGTGCAATTACCAAGAAAAGAGAAGCAAATAGATATGATGTTAGATCACGTGTTTTGCAAATCAAGGTGAGGAGCAGCTACAGGCCACGCTAACTGAATGTAACAGCTCTCAGCGGTCATCAGCAGAAAAGATCAGAGTCACCCGAATGGAAGGAGATAAATCAATGGAAAGTGACCAGAGATTTGTGTTCAATTGATTCTGACAAAAGAACAATTCTATAAGCGAGCCGACCTGTTTGCTGATACAAGCTCAGCTCTGTTGCCTTTCTGAACTTGTTTAAAACTTGTGGGGTGATACACAAACTCCCAACGGTTTGCCACAGACGCAATCTCTCACTTGGTTATTCACACTCTCTCAGCATGGTGTTATGAGCTCAGCAGTTGATCCCGCAAGAAAGGGCTGATTTATGTTAGCATGACCAGAGGGAGTTAATGTATTCTCTCATTAAAATCCACTTTAGTTAGGCTGAAAGTCAATCAAAGGCTAGATAGAAAGTGAATCAAAATGAACGGAAATGGTCGGGTGGGAGGACTAATATGTTGCATTAGAGCTAACCGTGGTCATAATGCACCAAAGATGTTATGAAAACATAGAAATGCACTGAAGACGTTGATGGCACCACAGAAGATGGAAATGCTGAGGCAAGGAAGCGGCTGCTTTAGTATCTTTTCATTGACACAGAAATGGCAGTGTTCAGTCTCAGCAGGGGTACATGTACTCTGGAGAGTCAGGGGTCCGAACCACTGTTTGATCCATAAAACATTTAGTACAACATTTACATTTTAGGAACTTTACAGCTGAATAGATACTGTAATATACGATGTACTCTATGTGTTACTCAAAATGTATTTTTATATTTGACATTTCACACAGTGTCGGCAGCGCAAAAGAACGCAAATGAATTAACAATAATATTAATAAAAATATTTATTTTGCTCTGTATGTCAATGCAAGTCTAGTGTATTTGAAGTCTGCATGCCATAAACAAATTATAAAATCAGTTGTCTTATGTGTCTGTACTATTCTTTATGTAATGAGTGTGTGTGCCTATACTATCACAGTTTTGATTGGATAATTATTATCATTATTATTTTTGTACATAAAATGTTCATAAATTGTAGAAAATGCCTGTCACAAGTTCCTAAAGCCAAAGTTGGCATATTCAAACTGTTTGTTTTGTCCAATCAACAGCCCAAACTTCAAATATATTCAACTTTATTATAATACATTAAAAACAACAATAAAGATTTACATTGCAGAAACAAAAATTTGTGTATTTTGACAAAAGATAAAGTTGTGCTCACCTGATCGGCTTTTGTTTCTTTTAATTCTTAACATCAGTGAACTGAGAATGAAAATCAGCTCTTTGGCTAAATCTGGCATCACTAATGTTCTTTAATAGTGTCAACAGATTTTTTTTTTATTACATTTTTTTTTGTACGTCACCGTCATTACAAGTAAATATTGAGATTTTCTGGGGTATATAGTTTTCTCTGTAGTTTTGGATTTAAACAAGCATTTCTGATATTATAGTTAATTTTATTTATTTATAATGTCATGTATTAACAGGATTAATATATCTACTTATGGGTGCACAGAGGAGGCGATGCCCCAACCCCACAGGTAGGAATCTAAATCAGCAAGTTATGCATTTTCTTTCTCCTTTGCATATTTCTTGAGCACAGGGGCTTTCACAGTGGCTTTCGATGCAAGAGGTATTGCACTGAATGCAACATCGGGGGCAGGACCTGACCCCCACGTGAACCCTGCTGATGAGGTGAAACAGAAGGCAGAAAGAGGCTCCCCTGGCCCTGAGGGGGCAGCGGGGAGGAATGTTGCAGATTCTACACTAAGCCAGTGAGACCACAGTCATCTTCGATACTGTCCTTGATTAGGAAAAAGGATTCACTCAGTGCACCTTCACCCACCCAGCGCTCAATCTGCGTGCAAGCCAGAGCTAAATTGATAAATATTTCCTCATTACAGTAGAAGGCCTTTGGCACATGTCCCTCCAGCAAGACGGCCGTCAGAAGGGAGGATAGAGACTGAGAGGCTCTGAGGTTAAGGGCAGAATGTCTTCCCTGCCCTTCATTCCTCCCCCTGATTTGATTAGGACTTCAGTCATCGATACATAAACCGTGTTTAGAACCTCCTAATGCGTGTGTTTGAACCAAAGAGAACATGCAGTGCATTATGCATCAGGCTGCATGATGCCTCTATTGTCATCTAATAATCTTTAATGGGACTGGAAATTTATGCAGGAGTGAAAGGGAATTGTTTTTTTCTGATCAGGGATGTCAGTCAGGTGAAACAACAAACCTCGTCTCTGACTTGAGGTAAAAGCCTGACGACTGAGTGAAGCCCTTAACAGAAGAGACAGTAAACTTTAACTTGCATGGAAATGATCAAGTAAATATTTAATATCACAGTTTTGGTTTTCTTTAATGATTTGTATTCTGGAAAATCAATTAGACTATAATCCCTGCAGAGATACGTAGTGCTTCTCTGTTTTATTGTCTGAGAGTGTCTGTTACGCCTGATACAATTTGAAAGAGAAAGAAAATAGTTCTGTGCCTCTGTGCAGGAATAGATATCAAGTCATCCTAGGC